GGTAGGAGGCATTTGCGTGGAAGCGCAATTGGCAAACATCATCTGTGAGTGAAGGCGCGCTCTGTTCTACGCCTCCATCCTCCGACCCCGTCCACTCGGATCCCACATGGGCGGCCGCATCGGATCTCGACCCCTTCCTAGGACCCTTTTTGTTCGACGCCCTTGTGCTCGACGCCCGGATCTGTTCGGGCCCCTGCCGTCGCGACTTTCTGTTCGACGTCCGGATTTGGAAGACTCAGCGTTCCCTGGCCGCCCCAACGGGAGGTTCCGGGACTACCGCCGTGCGGGCGGCGACGGCGAGCGTAGCGGATGGCTGGCGCCCGACCCGGGCCTGCTGGAGCTCCCGCCGGCATCTCGGGGCTGGCACAGCACGGACTTCGCCGCCGGCGACGTCGCGGTGCCCCAGACCTCGAAGAGGAACATGTCTGATACGTTTTCGGATGTCCGCGCGGATTTTGGTGGATCGGCGCTGGGCCCCCCTGTCTGGCGAGACCGGCAAAAGCACCGCAACGGGGGTCAGCGCCGATCCGAAAATCAGTGCGGACTTCCGAAAGTTGACATTCATGCAGAGTTCTCTTGTTTAAAAACCTCCAGCGCCCTGGCTTTCCAGTGTTGGGAAAGACGAAGCGGCAGCTTTTCACCCTTCCAGCCTCTGAGGCTGTCACCAGCTCCTGAGGCCGTCCACAGATAGTGCAGGATGAAGCGCCTGCCTGGGACTGCTGCGGACATGGATATTTTAAATCTGGGGGTTTGTGTGTGTGTGTGTCTCTGTGTCTCTGGTTCTCTCTGCCTCTGTGTCTCTGTTTGTGTTTGGACCCCTCTATAGAGGAGTGGTCAGCCGACCCCAGAGGAAAAAGGGCAAACCGACTATTCTCCGCAAGTCCGCAGGAACCGCGTGGGCATTTGAGCCGACGCGCCCCGTAGGCCGAACGCATCGCATCGCGCCAGAATATTTCCGAAAAGTCCGCTGCGCGTCCCCATGGGGCTGATAGGGGGCCAGGGGGGCCTCCCCAGGGGACTTCCCCAGGGAACCCAGAGGGGCATGCGACTCGCCCCTGCAAGCCGTCGAGAACTCCACCGGCATCGCACGGGTAACCAGCACGCGGCCCCCAAGGGCCCCCAGAACAGTGGGGGAGCCCTCAGCACCAGGCATCACGCAGAGAACTGGGCCCAGGGGCGATCCGACTCGACTCTCTCCTGCGAGAGCGGTCCGCGGAGGGGCGAGAGCCTCGGTGGGCCTCGTGATGATGCCCGCCAGCATCTCGAGGTTCCCGTCCTTCGGATGCAACTCTTGGGAGGTCAAATTCTTTTTTGCCCTGGTCCGAAATCCGGCTTAATCCAGCAATCCCGCTTAATCCGGCTTAATCCCGCAATCCCGCCTAATCCGGCTTAATCCGAGGCCCACTCCGGCATAACAGCCCCCCAATGGGGCTTAATCTTTCTGTCACTTTTCCGCCGAACCTGCCAGCAGTTGCCTCCTAGCATCTCGAGGTCCCCGTCCGTGGGCAAGCTCTGCTGCCTCGCCGTCTCCTCTGGGCCAGCTGGGAGTGAGGCCACTGGGCAAGGGGCCCGGCTCGGCGGCCTCCATCCCGGCAGGGGCCTCGGCAGCTCCAGGTCCGCCCTCCGTGCCGCGGCGGCGGCGCCAGTGTGCGGGGACGCTACAGCGAGCGGCTCGGCCGCGGCCTGGCGCCTGGGGCTCTGCCGCCGCTATAGGACCGCCTCCAAGGGGGGCCTGGAGCACGGCCGCTGGCGCAGGCCGCCCTTCAGGGGAGGAAAAGCTGCTCATACCGCTGCCCTTGCCTCGTTCCCCCCTTTGGGGGCTTCCTGGGGGGACCTCGTCGCCACCGCCGGATCTGCCCCGAAATTCTGATCAGATTGCGCCCCAGGAGAGGTCCGGAGTGTAGCGGTATTGGTGCCTTTTGATGTCCCCAGCCTTGAGAGCGCCTGCAATTCGGCGGCGGCGGCACGAACCGCGCCCCCCGCACTCGGCAGCAAGCGGCACGCGGGCGCCGAGCTGGAGCGTCAGAGCGCGGCGCCGTGCGTGGCAAGGCACGCCCCGCGGGCGGCTGCCAACGCATGAACCAGCGCATGGCGCTTGGATGCCACGGACATCAGCGGCCTAGAGAGAGCGGCCGACAGAGTGTTGTGCAGGGCCCGGCCGCCGCGCGCACTGTCTTTGCGCTTACTCCACCTCGTCGCCGCGCGCGAGGCCGCTACCGCCAAAAAGTGTACGTATGTGTGGGTGTATGTGTGTATGTGTGTGAATGTGTGTAAGTGTGTGTATATGTGCTTGAATGTGTGTACGTGTGTGGGAATGTGTGTGTATGTCAATGTGTGAGTGAATGTGTGTACGTGTGTGTGTGTGAATGTGTGTGTGTGAACTATTGTGTGTGATTGTGTGTGAATGCGCGTGTGTGTGAATGTGTGTATAAATGAATGTGCGTATTTGTGTGAATGCGTCTGTGTGTGAATGTGTGTGAATGTGTGTGACTGTGTGCTTGTGTGAACGTATATTTGTGTGAGTAGGTGTGAAAGTGTGTGTGACTGTGTTTGTGTGTGTGTGTGTTCGCGTCTGTGTGTGTGCGTGTGTGTGTGTGTGTGGATGTGCGTGCGTGTGTTTGAATGTGATGTGTGCGTGTGTGTGTGTGTGCATTTGCGTGTGTGAAGGCGTGTGCGTGTGTGTGTTTGTGAATGCGTACGTGTGTGAATGTGTGTAAGTGTGTGTGTGTGTGCATGAATGTATGTGTATGTGTCTGAATGCGTGTGTGCGTGTGTGAGAGAGAGAATGCGTGTGTGTGAATGCGTGCGCGCGTGTGTGTGTGTTTGTAGATTTATATATGTGTTGGTGAATGTGTGTGAATGTGCGTGTGAATCTGTGTGTGAATGAGCGACGAGCATGAATGTATGTGTAATTGTGCGTATGTGTATGTGTGTTTGAACATGTTCGTGTGTGTAGTGTGTGTAGTGTCTGTGCGAATGCGTGTGTGTGAATATATAATATATAAATAAGCTATAGTACATATAATGTATACTCAATATGTATAGATTTGTATATATACACACATATATATATATCGTAACGCCCCGCAGTTGCGGATAAGAGTGAGGGGGCTGCGAGGACGTCCTCAGTCTGCCAGGCTCTCGAAAAACCCGCCTCAAGCGTCCATTTTTTACAATTATGCATTGAGGCCGCCGCAGGCGCCGATTTGTTCGTTAAACAATTGCGGGTGGATCGCGGTTTGGGTCGCGGGTTGGTCGCGCATGGGTCGCGGGGTGGGTCGCGCGTGGGTCGCGGGTTGGTCGCGGGTGGGTCGCTGGTGGGTCGTGGGTGGGTCGCGCGTGGGTCGCGGGTGGGTCGCGGGTGGGTCGCGGGTGCGTCGCGGGTGGGTCGCGTGTTGGTCGCGTGGTGGGTCGCGGGGTGGGTCGCGGGGTGGGTCGGGGGTGGGTCGCGGGGTGGGTCGCAGGGTGGGTTGCGGGGTGGGTCGCGGGGGGGTCACGTGGTGGGTCGCGGGTGGTTCGCGAGTGGGTCGCGGGCTGGGTCGCGGGGTGAGTCATGAGTTGGGTCGCAGGGTGTGTCGCGGGGTGGGTGGAGGGTGGGTCGTGGGTTGGGTCGCAGAGGGGGACGACGACAACAAACAACAACAACAACAACAACAACAACAACACCACCACCAACAACAACAACAACGCAACAAGCATAATCCGCACCACGGATCTCCACTAGAGGCACGCACCCAGGGACGATGAATGACCGTTCGGCCCCCTCACTCTGTATACATATCTCTCTCTCTCTCTCTCTCTCTCTCTCTATATATATAGGTGTGTGTGCTCCCCGTGGCCACGGCTACCACACCCCAGGAGAGGTCTTGAGATCGAGAGGTTTCTGCTTTGGGGGGGTCCTTCGGAGCCCCCACCCCACGCCCTAATGCATGGCTTCCACTCGCGGGCCTGCTCCCAGCGCGCTGTCAAGGCGCTGAAATAAGGACCGCTTCGGTTTCAGAGCGGGCTTTGGTTTCAGGCCAGTTCTCAGATCTAGGTCGGGAAACCTATTCGTGGCTGAGGCTGCCCATGGCCAGAACGACCCATTCGTTCCTTGTTCATTGGTTCTCAAGGTAGCACGATGTACCCCTGGAGAGGTCCTAGGAGTATTGTACATTTCTGTTTGGCCAGTCTCAGACATCCAGTTGGGGAGCATCGGGAACCGAAGTTTGTGGCTGCTCTGGTTTGTGTTGGGTGAGCCTTCGGGAACCTTCTCGTCGCCACGGCTGGATTCCCTTCACATATTTGGTCAGAACGCACTCCAGGACAAGTACGGGGCCGATTCTGGAGGACAGTGTAACAGACCTCACAAGCCCGGGTAAAACGCAAGAATCAACTTCCTTGCGAAATCATCGCTGGAGGTGGGGGGCTCGGGCGACGCCAACTAGACCCCGACCCCGATCCTGCTCAGACCCACACCCGGGCCCACCATCGGAATTGACGCCGTCATGGCTAGGCTAAGACGGCGCGTACGAATTGATTTTGCCGACAGTTAAGACGAGCCTGTCCCTCTACAGGACGAATATTCAAAAATAGAAAAAAATAGTCTGGGGACGATTTGTTCGCATGCATTTACTATTTGGGCGTATTTTTGGGCTACTTTTCATTCTTCGTCCAAAGTCCTCCTGTAGGGGGACACGCCCGACTTAAGCCAACGGGCTGATCCTGGCCAGGACCGACGTCGGTGCACAGTTTTGGTGTCTCTCACGCTGCCCAGGAAGTCCCGGCCTGGGTTCCAGCAGGTCTCCAGAGGCCACCCTGTCCCCCGAGGCGTCCACCTCCTCCTCCTCCTCCTCCTCCTCCTCCTCCTCCTCCCCTCCTCCTCCTTTCTCCTCCTCCTCCTCCTCCTTCTCCTCCCCCTCCTCCTCCTCCTCCTCCTCCTCCTTCTCCTCCTCCTTCTCCTCCTCCTCCTCCTCCTCTCCTCCTCCTCCTTCTCCTCCCCCTCCTCCTCCTCCTCCCCCTTCTCCTCCTCCTCCTCCCCTCCTCCTCCTCCCTCCTCCTCCTCCTCTCCTCCTCCTCCTCCTCCTCCTCCTCCTCCTCCTCCTCCTCCTCCTCCTCCTCCGCCTCCTCCTCCTCCTCCTCCTCCTCCTCCTCCTCTTCCTCCTCCTCCTCCCCCCCCCTCCCAGAGGCCTCCGGAGGCCAGATATTTGCCTCCCGAGTCTTCGGCTCTGTGACATGCGCGCGCCGTGGTGGCGCGGCGGCGACCTTTTGGCGCGGGCGTTCAAGGCCGAGCGCCGCCGGTGGCTGCAGGCGTCGCAGCGGTCCGCGCAGTCGGAGAGCCGCGGTCGCTCGAGGCGAGCCAGGCGGCGGCAGGGAAAATGATGGGCCCGTTATCCACCACCACCACCATAAGTTGGAGGGGGGAAGCAGGAGGAGGAGGAGGAGGAGGACGAGGACGAGGAGGAGGAGGAGGAGGAGGAGGAGGAGGAGGACCCCCTCCCCCTCCAACTTCTGGTGGTGGTGGTGGAAAACAGGCCCATCAGAAAACATAGAGAGTCTGCCCAGATTGGTGGGTCGACCCTGCCAAATCAAGGGTACTCTTGTGTCCTGTGTCTCGTGACCCGTGCCTCTTGCATTCCTGTGGCAGTGCGGCCCTCGGAGGGGTCCTGTGTCCTCCCGCGTGCCCTGTCCAACCGAGTCTGACTGCAGCTCGTCGAAGGACCCAGCTACGTGCAGCTCGAGTATCGCAGGATGTGCCCTGCTCGTCATGGAGCAGCGCGCCGCGAGAGGGATGGAGCACGGGGCCGACCGGAGGGGTCCCCCGAAGCATCTGTGAGATGTGCCGAAGTGAGCGGTGGACGCATGCGGGCGCTGCCACTGGGGCCTTCGTTCAGCTCTCCCGCTCCCCATGGGGCCACGAAGCGTGTGAGGGGTGCGCCGAAACCGCCCGAGGCCGCCATGCGAGCCCTGCCACTGGGGCCTTCGGTCAGAGCTCCCGCTCCCCATGAGGCCACGAAGCGTGTGAGGGGTGCGCCGAAATCGCCCGAGGCCGCCATGCGAACCCTGCCACCGGGGCCTTCGGTGGAGCTCCATATGGGGCCACAATCCTCGTGAGGGGTGTGCCGAGATGGCCCGACACTGGGGCCTTCGGTGGAGGTCCCTTTTGGGCAACCATCCGTGTGAGGGGCGTGCCGACATCGCCCGAGGCCGCCATGCGAACCCTGCCACTGGGGCCTTCGGTGGAGCTCCATATGGGGCCACGATCCTTGTGAAGGGCGTGCCGAAATCGTCCGAGGCCGCCATGCGAACCCTGCCACTGGGGTCTTCAGTGCAGCTTCTTATCGGACCATGATCCTCTCGAGGGGTGTGCCGAGATGGCCCGAGGCCGCCATGCGAACACTCCCACTCAGGCGTTCGGTGGAACTCCTGAACCGAGCCAAGAACCGCCGGAGGGGTGTGCCGAATGGTTGGACATGCGGAGGGCAGAGGCAGGGATGGGAGCAGGGAGGAGGGGGAGGAGGAGAGGAGAGGAGGAGCCGCGGGGCGCTGCCTCCAGAACACGAGGACCCAACACCACAGGACGGTTGGGAATTGTGCTGACGTCATCGCGACGTGAACTCATAGGAGGGCGACTCAGAGATACCCGGGAGGCCCGTCATGCAGCCACCGAACCGGGCGACGATGGAACAAACGGGTCCCAGGCCTGCTCGTGGGCGTTGTTTGGCCGTCGCGGTCGTCGTCGTCGTCGTCGCCGCCCTCTCCGAGATGTTCACGAGCGCGGCAGGCAACTCCACGGCGCGCCCGTGGGGGAGGGGAGCATCGGGGACGGCCAAGAGGGGGGTGACGACTAGGGGGGGGGGATGTCAGGGCGGGGGCCACGACATCTCCCCAGATGTCATGGCCCCTCGTCTCACTTCCGTGCGTCCCTGGCCCCCCACCCTGGGCCGCGCACATGCCGCCGGCCATGATTTGCCCCCCCCCCCCCCCCTTTGGACACCCCCCTCTTCGGCCGCCCCCGGGGGAAGGAGCAGGCCTTGTCAGAAGGCGGCGGTGCTTCTCAGAAGCCCTCCGGCCTTCTCGGTGTTCGGCGTCCCCGGGCAAGGCTCAGAACAAAAAACCTCTCCATCGGGAAGCCAGAGGCCTCCCGAGCCTTCCAGGGAGGCCCGCCCCTTCCCGCTTCTCCCCCTTGAGGCGCGCCACCGCTCCGCCGCCGCTCGGCGTGGCCCGGAGGTGTTCGGCATGGACCTGCTGCACACCACGGTGCCGAACACCACCCGCTCCTTCCGGCTGTCGTGCGACACCCGGTGGCAGCCGGCCGCGGCGCCGCCGCCCGCGGGCGTCACCGTGGGCCCGTGGAGGCGTGAGGCTCGGCGGCGCGCAAAGGGGGAGGGATGGCGCGGGGAGGGGGGGGGGGGCCTTCCAGGGCCATAACATGCACTCCTGATGGGCGTGTTTTCCACCACCACCAGAAGTTGGAGGGGGGGGGGACCTCCTCCGCCTCCTCCTCCTCCTCATCCTCCTCCTCCTCCTCCTCGTCCTCCTCTTCCTCGCCCTCCTCCTCCTTCCCCCCTCCAACTTATGGTGGTGGTGGCGGAAAACGGGCTCATCAACTCCGAGTTCCTTGATAAGCGTCGGGGGGGGGGCGCCACCCCCGCCGACAGCCCCACGTCGACCCCCGTCGCGGGCAGCCACCGCGCGCCGAAGGCGCTCCGACCCCCGTCGCGGCGCGACGACGAGGCGAAGTTGACCCCCGTTGGCGGGGTACCCCCCGTGCTCATTAAGAGACTCGGAGTACAGTTTGGGCTGTCCGCGCGGATTTCTCGGAGCCGGTTGCGCGCCTTAGGCTGCGCCCCTGGCGCGCTGAGAGCGCGCCAGGGAGAGGGGCCCAGCGCAGATCCCAGTGATCCGCGCGGATCGCGATTGTTTTTGTTTGTTTCTGACGTTGTGTTCTTCTTCCAGGGCTGAGCCGCGCTTTCGGCCTGCACAGTGCAAATTCACAGGTCGAGAAGAACGTTTGTTGTATGCTGGCAGGAAAGTGGATGAAAGTATCGAGCTGTTTCGAACACCTGAATCACCGGTTGATGATGTGTGCAGTAGTGGACAAAGTAGTTGACGCGTTTTTCAAACACTAGTTTCAATATTTGATGCGGTTTTTACAACGAATGAATTTTCTTTGAAGATCACCCCAAGCATGTTTGCATGGTGGAGCGTTTCGGCGGACATGTTTTGAGCGCGCGATGATCGAGCAGGAGCCGCATGTCTGCATCTGGGGCTGGCTGGGCCGCTTTTTTGGAATCCCGGGCACTGCACCCATGTTTTGTTGAACCCTAATGGTTTGTTGATGATGGGGGGGAGAAAGAGATGACGGGGGGGAGGATGGCCGGAGTTGTTGCGCTGCTTTCAGCTTCGGTCTGGTTTTTACAGTTGGTCAACTGTTCGTCCTGCGCTACGGTCACCCCTGGGCTTAATAGTAAGCAGCACTAGTGCTGGGTAGTATGTCCTTTCGGGTCCTCCACTATCGGACGCAGCGCCGCGAGCAATGCGCCATGTAAACTTTACGTGTTACATACTCAGGATGTCGCATTCAGAACTATGCTTCAACCCTGCACGATTGGACACGCGGAGTGGCGATCACTAGTAGCTCGTGATGCAAAGCGTGATCGTAAATGCATGTACGCCCAATGCCGCCCAACACGCGTCAGTTTGCCCTATGCCCTCACGGCCGCCGCGCCCCAAGCTCAGAGACCAATTATAGGTTTACGCGTCGTGGAATATGGTGCCGCAGCCCCCAGCCAAAACGCCTGCGCCTTCAACGGCGGCCCATGTCAAAACAAACCGCCCTCGCACCCGCCGGATCAACAGCTCCGGGCGCCCAGCCCCGAGCGGGCTGCACCGTGAACTGTTAGCCCCAGGGCGCACCCGCAGCGCCAGTCATTGACCGACCAAAAGTTCAGCGGCGTCGAGGGCTCGGGGGGCGCCTCGACCAGGTATTTGGTGAGCTCATTCTTTGCAGGCGGCGATAAGACTGCGCGCGCGTGCCCAACGTGCCACCACGTACTACGCATCCAATGCCCCCCCGCCGCTGTAACGCAATGTATATACTGCTGTGCTAAATTGTTACGCGCTCGCGGCAACCACGCGACCCTCCGTTGCAGCGCTGCCCCCCTTTATCTCTTGCTCTTACTTTTGCAGCGTTCCTCCGCAGGTGGTGACTCGCAGCGACAGCAAGCCGCAGAAAATCGACGCCGCCTATAACGTCATTGGAAATTGCGCTGCGGGTTCAGGAGCAAAGGCTACTAATCATTGGGCCGCGTGCGTCCAGTAGGCTCACCCCATCGGCCCTGGACCAGAGCATCTCGCATCTTCACTGTGCGCGCGTCTCCCTTGCTTAATGCGGTCCCCTCCCGCCCAGATGTTTCCCGCGTCTTTCTGCCAGAATGGCGCCCCCCTTCGCCCCGGGCCCGTGGCGGCCGACGTGGCCATGGAGATCGCTCCACGAGGGCCCAGAGGGCGCCCAAAGGCCCCGCAGAAGGGCCCACGACGGCCCAGGAGGGCCCAGAGGGCGCCCATACTCGCCCCGCAGGAAGGCCCCGCGGGGCCCGCGCGGCCCCGGAGAGCCCCGCGACAGTCCGACGGGGCGCCCAGTCCGCCCCGCTGGGGCCTGCGAGCCCCGTCGGGCTGTCGCGGGGCCCTCTCGGGCCGCCTGGGGCCCTCTCTTGGAACGCGCGCGGGGACGCGCGAGGCCGTCTTGGGCCTATCTCCAGCCGTCGCGGGCTCTTCGGGGAGGCGTTCGGGTGCATTTTTTTTGAGGGGGGGTCTTTGGGCCCTCTTGGATCGATATCGGTGGCGTCGTCGGCCTTCTCGTTCTGCCCGAATCAATCAAGTCCCTTCGGCCCGCGCGCCCTCTCCCTGGCTTTCTTCGCCGCGTCCAGCCAACTTCTTCTTCTTCTTCTTCGTATTCTTCTCCTTCTTCGCCGACTCAGCCCACCCAGCAATCCGTCCATCGAGCGCCGCCCGTCCCATGATCGGCTCATTTCAGCGCTGCCGCGCCCTCCACCGCTGCTTCGCCTTCTTCGCCCCCCGTCGTCTGCGCGCGTGTCCAGCGGCGTCGGCCTTCTCTGTCGCCGCGGCGCGCGCCCCGGCAGAGAAGCGCGTCGCGTCGCGCTCGCGCGCTGCCCCCCCGATCCCCCCCCTTGGGCAAATTTGCATCGCGTCGTTCCACACATCCGCCAACTGTTTGTTCTTTCGGCGCGCCGCCCAACCGCGTGTCACGATTCCAAAATGTAGAAGTTGAGTAATGGCTGGAAAAATATTGAAGCGCGCGTCGGGCAGAATTCGAAACGCGCAAGTCGACCCGGGCTCGGCGGCCGCAGCAGATTCGCTACATCTCGCGGATGACACTTGGCAGAACCTGGGACAGCGTTGAAAAACTAATGGGTTAAAGCAGTGTAAACCGATTTGACAGAAGGAGTCGCCAACGCAGTCGCGAAAAAGTTGGCAAACAGTTTGAGACCCATTGCGCGCGCCAGTTTCGCCAGTCCAGATTGGGGCGGTGGTCCCGAGCGCTCGCGGGAGCGCAGTTTCGCGCGCAGCGTGCATCCCTCGCAATTTCACACGCAGTTCCGCCGTTTTCTTCCCTGCGGTTTCCCACCCGACAACCCCGCCTTCCACGCCCCCGCCCTCGGCCGCCCCCGCCGCCCCGCGCAACTTGCCAGGCTGGCTTAGAAAAAATTCTAGACACTTCGCGTATCCCCACCAGCCCGTCCAGAAACGACGCCCAGGCGAGTAGAGGGTCGTCCTGAGGGGCTTTTCGGCGTCTTGGGTGCCTCGGGGGGGCCTCTGTGGGCAGTTCGGGATCCTCTTTGGGGCCTCCTGGGGGCCTCTTGGGGCCTCTTGGGGCCATCTTGGGGCCTTTGGGGGCCTCTTGGGCGCTTCTTGGGGCCATCTTTGCACCTTGGGTGCCTCTGGGGGGTCTCTTGGGGCCTCTTGGGGGTCTCTTGGGGGCCTCCTGGGGGCCTCTTGGGGGCCTCTTGGGGGGCCTCTTGGGGCCATCCTGCGGCCTCTTGGGGCATCCTGGGGGCCTCTTGCGGCCATCGTGGAGGAAATCGGCCAAGGAAGTAGGGTACCTTAATTAGAGCCCCCCCCCCCAGGAGCTCCAAACATCGTTTCCTGGACCCCTCTTGGATCGCTCTTGGAGCGCTCGTGGCCGCTCTTGGAGCCATCCTGAGGCTCTCTTGGGCCCTTCTTGGGGCTATCTTGGGCCATCTTGGAGCCATCTTGACGCTTCGGATGTGCATCGCAAGCGAAAAAGTGAGAACACCAAAAACATTGATTTTCCCTACGGTTTTGAAGCATTCTGGCCTCTTGGATGCATCCTAATGATGCTCTTGTGGGCACTTGGAACCGTCTTGGAGAGTTCTTGGAACGTCTTGGAACATCATGGGGACCATCTTGGGGCATCTTGCGCTATCTTGAGCCATCTTGGAGGGTATCTTGGGTTCCCTGAGGCCCTCTTGGAGCCGTCTTGGGCCATCTTGGGCGCTCCAACGCGCCGCGGAACCCCCTGTCCAGGTCAGTGGGGAGGGGGTAGGGGGAGGGGTAAACCCCTCCCCGAAGGGGAAGAAGGACGGGTGGAAGAGGAAACGCTCTAAACCACCGACGCCCAGAGGGCTGGTGGGATTGGCTGCGGCACGTCGGGGCAGGGCGCGCAAAAGGGCAACGCAAAGAAGACGAAGCACCGATACCAAAAACAAGACAATATCTCAATGCTTCCCATTATCCTTCCCTCTACCCCTCCTTATGTATTGCTACAAATTCTTCTTGTTTTCTCTCTCTCTCTCTCTCGTTTATTTTGTTATGTGTCTCTCTCTCCCTCTCTCTCTCTCACTTTTTGTTTTCTCTCTCTCTCTCTCCTTTTTGCTGTTTGTTTTGTCCCCTCTCTCTCTCTCTCTTTCGTTCGCTTTTTCGTAAGTTTTTTGTTCGTTTTTGCGCGCTCTCTCTCTCTCTCTCTCTTTCTCCCCCCCCTCTCCTTGCGTTTCTCTGTCTTTCTCTCTGTCTTCGTCGCCCCCCCCCTCTCTCTCTCTATATATATATATATATTATATATATAATGTTTTTTTTTGTTTTCTCTCTCTCTCTCTCTCCCTCTCCTTCTCTCTCTCTCTCTCTCTCTCCTCTCCCCCACCCCCGCCCGCCTCAGCCCTTGCCCCGCGCGCGCTTGGCTGACCGGCGCCATCTTTGGACGCGCCTGGGCCGCCCTGGGGCCCCCGTCCATCGGCGAAACTTTATGATCCTTGGGCGGGGCCCTCGACCCCGCCCCCCATCGCCGCCCCGCCCTTCCGAAACGAAGTTCACGATGCCCCCCCTCCCTTGTCTCCACCCAAAGCATTCCCAGCTGCCCCCTTCCACCCCCCTGCGCGAGAGACCCCAACAACGCGCGGCCCAAACCCTCGTTTGAATTTGGACCCGTCCCATGGAGTGTCTTGTTCGTTGTCTCCCCCCCGAACTTGCGAAATCCACCGATCGTTGAAAGCCGCGAGCCCCGTGCCCCCCTCCTGTTAGACACCACAAGCACACGCTGTCGAAGTGCCCTGCGCATGAGCAAATTCGCTGCCCAAGCTTGTTTTGTTTTCCCCCAAACTGGGAAATCTTGTCTGGTGGTCTAGTTGAGGTTGAATTAAGTGATCATCCCCCATAGGGCCCCAGGGCCCCATAGGGGTGATCAAAGGACAGAGGCTTCTAGGGCACAAGGGCCGTTCGGCAGTGTCGCCCCGCGCGTTTCGCGGCCCCGCAAAAGAGGCCCCACCGAAGGCCCCAGCGGGGGGGTCCACTCGGCGCGCGCCCCCCGCGCGTTTCGTTGCCCAGAAGGGAGCGCAACCGAGGACGATGTTCAAAACTGCGTTTATGTTATTCTCAACTGCGTAGAGTATTACGGTTGGGTCTCTCGTTTGGATAGTTGTTGTTTCGCTCGTGCCCCAGCTGTTGTTGTGGTTGCTGCTGCTACTGATGCTACTGCTGCTGCTGCTGCCCTTCATTCTCCTTATCCTGTTCCTGACGACTCCCCCCCTGATCGTCTTGTTCCTTGTGCTCTTGGTGACTTACCGAATCTGCGGATCATTCGTCTCCCTCGTTCTCGTTGTCCTCCTCGTCGTCGTCGTCCTCTTCGTCCTTCCCCTTCCTCCGCCAGGCCATGCTTCTGATGTTGTTAGTGCCCCTCCTTTTTTGTTTCTCCGTCTTTCTCCTCCATCACCACCGTCCTGCTGATAATCCTGCTGCGCTGCTGCTGCTGCTGCTACTTGCCTTGCTGCTGGTGGCCCCCCAGAGGGGGTGGAGGCGGCCTTCCGAGGAGGCGGGGGGGGCAGGGCTCAGCCCGACTCCTCCGACTCAATCCAATTCGATCTAGATCGATTCCGCTTCCGCTTCGGCTTCGGGTTCCGATCTGGATCTCGGTTGCTCAACTGAGGCCTCCCTGGCCTGCCGCTTCCCGCGAAGTCCACCTCTCCCGGTTTGGCTACCGAGATGTCGGGCCTGTCCCTCTACAGAGGGAATATTCCAACATAGTTTTAAACAGAGCCTAGGGATTTATTGTTGCGCATGTTTTGGCCATTTGGGGGTATGTGTTTGACTAGTTTTTATGTTTCGGCCAAAATCCGCCTGTAGGGGGACAGGCCCGACTTAAGGCTACCGATATCCGTCGATCCGCTGTAATGCCGCCAGGTGCGGCTTCTCGATGCGCTTCCGGGCTCCCATGCGGGGGGGGGGGTTCTAGAGATCCTGGCTTCCCGGAGGGGGTCGGAGCAGGTTGTGTCAGAGGATCGCTCCGCATCGCCAACGCTTGTGGAGGACGATCAATGGAGAGGAAGCAGGCCGCCAAATAAGTTACAGGTGTCTAAAATCTGTTTCAAACATGCTTTGAATATGTACAAGCATTTGATTGAAACATGCTGAGAACATGCTTTACACATGTTCAACACATATTCAATTCAATGATAGGATTGTGAGAGTGTCCATTGATATGGCATCCAGGAGCCAATGCATTGGCGATGCTGCTTGATATGGGTGCCCGATTTTCTGCACGCCGACGGCGCCGATGCATCGGTGACGCATCGGCGATGCGGCGCGACTGTCCGACCCCATCTACTCGGACCCCATGTGGGAAGCCTCTAAGCACGAGCAGGTGGACGACAGACGAACGCGAGGGTCGACTGCGCGAACATTCGCGCGTAAGCTTATGGGCAAGGTCACGCGCAGGCGCCTTCTGTGTCCACGCGGTGTGCCACGCTGGCGGCCCGCTCAAGCCGCGGTGCAATGCCACTATGCCTTCTCGCGTCGGACCCGTTTGTTTCTCGTCGCCCAGGTGGCTTACTTGAAGCCTTCCTGACTCCTAGTAAGCACTCTCAACAGCCCGCCCCGTCCCTTCTGCCATGGCCCCTGGGCCCTTCTCGTTGCACACTGCCACCATCAGCCGAAAAGGGTATGTGACCGGAAAGAGGCGGTGACCGAAAACGCGCCCGAAGTCGTGACCGAAAGCGTAGTGCGACCGAACTTGTGGCCGACATTGCAAGCCGTTTTGGTTTCGAACCGCACATTTCGGTCACACCTCGGCTGCGGTCTGACACTTTCGGGCGCCGGTTTCGGCCACACTCGGGCAGATTTCCGGGCACAGTTTCGTTCACGACGCCCCCCTGATAGTCGGGGGCGGAAAAGAGGGGGGTGATGACTAGGGGGGGGTGGATATCATGGCGTGGGCCATGATATTTCCCCAGATTTCATGGCGCCTCTTCTTATTTCATTACGTCCCTGGCCCCCCCGCTGGGCCGCGCACATGCCGCCGGCCATGATTTGCACCCCCCCCTCTTGGACACCCCCCTCTTTGCCGCTCCCGAGATAGAGACGCGGCGACGTGGCCTTTCTGAGAGTCGGCGGCGAGCGAGGGGGGGGGGGGGACGGAAAGGGGCGGGCCTTCTCAGACGGCTCGGAAGTCCCCTCGGCCTCCTCCGAAGTCTCCGGAGCCTCCCCTGGAGGCGCAAACAACAGGTCAGATTCAGAAGAGCGGGCGGACGCCTCCGAGGAGCCCCGCCGCCCCCCGAGAGGGCCTTCTGCTTCTCCGTTCCCCCCCCCCCTCGCTCGCCGCCGAGAGAAGCAAGCCCACGCGGTGTCGGAGTGCCGGGGCCGGCTCGCCAGAGACGCGGCCTGGACCCCCGGCTTGGGCCTGGGCCCGAGAGCCAGCACCGCGCGACCAAGGGGCAACACGTTGTGGTGAGTCACGGCCAGGGTCTCCGACCCAATCCAGGGCTCGTTTCGATTCCTCCGATTCGATTCGATGCGATCTCGGTGGCTCCCTCCTCCTCCTCCTCCTCCTCCTCCTCCTCCTCCTCCTCCTCCTCCTCCTCCTACCCCTCCCTCAGCCCACGCCCTCGCTCCGAGGGCCGCCGCCGATTCCGATTCGATTCGACTTGGGATTCCGATTCGGGTCACGAAGTCCTGTTGGAGGCACACCAGCCTGCCGATCTCTGCCGCTTCGATGTTGTCCAGGCTCGGCTGCCGATTTCTCGCCGACCCGACTTCTCGATCCGATTCTGGGGCCCTCCTGCCCATCTCCCTGCGGCATCGGCCGGAGCGAATATAGATGCCCCCGCTCGCTGCCGAGAGAGGGCCCCCGCAGCCACCGTCCCCCCCCCCCCCCCCGCGCGCCGCCCCCGCGTGCGCCGCGCGCGCCGAGAGGCGCGGCTGCGGGCGGCCGCGGCGGCCGCAGCGCGGCGCCCCTCCGAGCCTGCCTCCGACGGCTCCCCCGCCCCGAGGGCCGAGGTCGTGGGCGCCGCGCCGGGGCGGATGGGGCCGCCTGGGGCCGAGGCCGAAGAATCGAAGGAGAAAAGACGGCACAAATAGAAACTTGTGGCGCTCCGCGCGGATTCCTCGGATCCGCGCTGGACCCCCCCGGGCGGCGCCTACGGCGCCGACCTTGGGCTGCTCCGCGCGCCAGGGAGGGGGGTCCAGCGCAGATCCAAGAAATCCGCGCGGAGCGCCAATAGTTTTGGGCTATGCCGTTCTTGTCTTCTTCGAAAAAAGTTTGATCCGCCCCATCGGTTGGCAAAAAGGTGCTGTCAATCGTCATCGGTCGCGTCTGCACTGTGGACCGCCCAGGCCGCCGCAGATGGACGGGCCTCGGCCGATTGAGGTGGTGACGAACCTCAGCTGCCATGCATGATTCGCCCGTGCTGAGGCGCAACGCCAGCCGCTTTCAAAACGTCCGTGTCAACACTGCGCGTTTTGAAACAGCGTGTTTTTCCACGCTTCGGTTCCGTGTTGCGAACTGGTGCAACTAAGCCCCTCGCTTCGATGGCCGAGGTCGCGGGCGACGAGCATGTTCCATACCGTCGCGGCTTGGACACCAAGGCTCCAAGGAAGAAACGGTACCCACACCGCTACCATGTTTTGGGGTTCCTGGGAGGCCCTCATCGCCACCACTGCATTCGCCTTGAGGTTCTGGTCAGAACGCACCCCCCTGAGAGGTCCGGGGAGAAGCGGTATCGGTGCCCCATGGTTCGCTCAGAGGTGATGGGCCTGTTTTCCACCACCACCACCATAAGTTGGAGGGGGAGAGGGTCTTCCTACACCTCTTCCTCCTCCTCTTCCTCGTCCTCCTCCTCCTCGTCCTCCTCCTTCCCCCCTCCAACTTATGGTGGTAGTGGAGGACGACAGGCCCGTCGAGAGGCGCGATCCCAGGGAGGCGCGATCCCAGGGACCCACGTCGCGCGGGGCGTCCGCACGGAGCCGCCAGGAGGAGGAGGAGGAGGAGGGACCAAGAGAGGGAGGAGGGCGACGATGAGCATGGGAGGAGGAAGACTAAGAGGAGGAGGAGGAGGAGGAGGAGGAGGAGGAGGAGGAGCAGGAGGAGGAGGAGCAGGAGCAGGAGGAGGAGGAGGGGGAGGGGGAGGAGAGGGAGGAGGTGGAGTTGGAGGAGGAGGAGGAGGAGGAGGAGGAGGAGGGGAAGGAGGAGGAGGGACCAATAGGAGGAGGAGGAGGAGGACGATGAGGAGCATGAGGAAGAGGATGAAGGGGAGGGGAGGAGAAGGAAGATGAGGTGAAGGCCTTCGCAATTCTTTTGTTGTTAGTATCTTGGAGCACTCTTAGGGCCTAGAACGGAAGGTCCTCCAACTGTTGACGCTTCGCGTATCTCCAGCCCTCTGCGCCGAGGTTGGCAGGCTCCATACTTCGATAGTGTCTCAAGCGGCGTACTGCTGGACCATGGTCTCAGACACCTTGGGGTTATTTGCATCGCGCCATTTTGGCAGCGTAGTTGCAGACTCTCTGGGTGCTGGTCCCTGGGCGTCAGACACCCTGGGTTGCAGCCCCCTTGCACCCGCCGCCCCGGCTCCGGCCGCGGCCCGCGCGCGCGTCCGGCCAATTAGTTTCGGCCGCAGCCCGACCGTTACTCGCCGCCGCTGGCGCTCCCGCCCGCGGCTGTAAAACAAAAAAATCTCCAGCCCTGTCCCGGTGATCTGAGGTGCCGCCTAGGCTCTGTTTGCTGGCGCGGTAGGCAATCAGGTTCGCGCGCGGCCCGCCCGTTCCGTTGCTCGCCGCCTGCGCTTTCGCTTGAGGTTGGGGAAAAAAGTATCCCCAGCCCTGCCTGGCAATTAGTTCTGCTCGTAGCCCGAGCCGACCTGTGTTGCCGCCGGCGCCTTCGCCTGCGGCTGCGACAAAAAAGTATCCCCAGCCCTGTTCGTCGTATTGCTTTTTCCTTCGTAGGTGGCATGGCCTGCCCCTGCTTGCCTGGCGTCCGACTAGATTCGTGCATCTTGGCGAGCCCAGGGCTGCCTTTGAGCGTCTTGGGTGCCTCGGGCATCCTCTTGAGGCTCCTTGGGGGTCTCTTGGGAGCTTCTTGGAGGTTTCCTGGACGCCTCCTGGCGCCGTCTGGGCGCCTCTTGGGGCCCTCTTGGGGCGCTCTTGGGAGCTTCAGGGGCGCTCTTGGGACCATCTTGGAGGACATCGATCAAACAAGAGGGGAACTCCAATTAGCCTGCCCCCTTGGGAGCACCGAACATCGCCTCCAGGACCCCTCTTGGATCGCTCTTGGACGCTCACGGGGCCGTCGTGGGGCTCTCTTTGGCTTTTCTGGGGGCCACTTTGGGCCATCTTGGAGCCCTTCGGAAGGCGATCGGAAGCGGAAAGGCAAGATGGCATAACACATTGATTTCCTTTCGGTGTTTGACGGGTTTGGGCTTCTTGGGGGCCTCCTTGGAGGTTTCGGATGCCACCTGGAGCCGTCTTGGAGCGTTCTTCGGGCTTCTTGGAGCATCTTCGGAGCCATCTTGAGGCATCTTAGTCCATCTTGAACCATCTTGGAGATCATCTTGGGCTTTCCGAGGCGCTCTTGGAGCCGTACTGGGCCATCTTGGACACTCCAACTACCCGCGACCACCCTCGTCCAGGTCCAGGGGGAGGGGGTAGGGGGGGGGGGTAAACCCCTCCCCGAAGGGGAAGAAGGGGGTTGGAAGAGAAGCCGCCCTAGACCACCTACGTCCAGAGGGCTGGTGGGATTAGCATTGCCCACCTGGATCCTCGACAATCGCCTCTTCGGCCGCTCTTGGGTCCCTCTTGGGCGCTCCTGGGGCCATCGTTGAGGCCTCTTGGGCCCATCTTGGGGCTCTCTTCGAGCCATCCGTGAGTCATCTTGAGGCCTTCGAAGCCCATCGGAAGCGAAACGGCGAGAAGGCCAGCAACCGTAGTTTTCAGTATGTTGCCGAAGGGCTTTGACACTATGCATTGTGTGAGGTGAGCATCTTTGGAGGGCTCCATGCGGGGACGTCGTGGGCCCTCTTGGAGGCATGTTGAAGGCCATCGTGAGTCGGAGGCATGGCGAAGGCTATCTTGAGCCATCTCGGGGTAGCTTGCGCAATCTTAGAGGCCATTGTTTCCTTCCTAAGGCAATATTTGAACCATGCTGGCCCAACGCCTTCCAATTTGGCCTCCGAAATGTCACGTTTGAAGAACCGTTGGTAAGCGTTTTCTGATTCCATTTTTTGCCGGTCAGCGCGGGCCTTCGCACCCCCACTCCCCCCCGTGGAGTAGATCTTGGCTATTTTTAACGCCTGCTTCGAGCAGGTGGAGTCTCCCCCATCGGACGCACGTTCCCAAACAGTCGCACTAAGCAGAGGTCTGGAGCCAGACCCCAATGTCGAAACGCCGATTAAACAAAACGTTCACTTGGTTTTCCGTTGAATTTGGGTCTCAGCGAAGGAGGGGTACCCGATAAGCCTCGCCCACCTGGGGCCCCAAGATTCGCGTCTTGGGCATTCGCGTGGGCGCTCTTGGGCGCCCCTGAGGCCGTCCATGAGCCATTTTGGGCTCATCTTGGGGCTCTCTTGGGCCATCCTGGAGCTATCTTAATGCCTCGGAAGCCCATCAGAAGTGACTCAGGGGGGAGGGAGGAAATAGGGGGCGGGAGGGAGGAGGGGGCAGACGCCGGGGTAGGAGGAGGAGAGGCGGGCAGACAGCGGAGGACGAGAAGGAGGATGAGGAGGAGAAGGAGGAGGAGCAGCAGGAGCAGGAGCAGGGGCAGGAGTAGGAGCAGAAGCGGGAGGAGGATCACGGGGGGTAGGAGGAAGGAGGGATTGCCTCATTGGTCGCGAAAGCTCTGGGCGAGGTCGGAGCGCATTACCTGCAGACACATCACAGCAGGTGGCAGCAGGGTGCTCAGAGTCTTGGAGGTTCTGCCCAGGGCCCGAGCAGCTTGTTTGGTGGTTGGCTGCTCTGTGGAGGCTCTCTGGCGCGCGATGCCCTGCGCACGAGGAGGAGGCCCCGCATCCGGAACCGTTATTTTTTCACAACGTGGACCCCCAGGGTCCACACTCCTTTCCCAGGGCCGCTTTTCCGTCCTGGATAGATGTTTGACGGTCCTGGGGTTTGGAGAGGGCGCCCGGAGGCTGAGAATAGCAGGACAAAAAACATCCGCAGTACCTTTCCCACGACGCGAGAACGTCAAGGAAGGAGTGGAGGGGAGGGGAAGAGGCAAGGGCAGTGCTCATGGCCTCCTAGCTGGTGTCGGGATAGATGCGCTCGGAGGATCGCGCCGCATCGCCGATATATCGGCTATGCGGCTCGAGGTGGAGCCCCATGTTCTCCGCGCCGACGTCGACAATGCACCGCCACTGGCGCCGATGCAACTGCGATGTATCTCCGATGCACCGCGGATGCATCAACGAAAACATCATCTTTCGGACCTGCGCGCGGGTTTCTTGGCGCTGAGCCCCCCTGGCGGCGCCTCCAACGCCGCCCCTGGCGCGCTCCGCGCGCCAGGGACGAGGGTCCAGCGCCGCGCGGACCCCCGGAAGTTTATGTTTCTGCAGTTCTTGTGCTCCTCCAGATTTAAGTCGGGCACGTCCCTCTACAGGAGGAACATTCAATCACAGTCCCCAAAAAACAGGCTGGTGACGACTTTTGAACAATGCTGTACAAATATTTTTGGAATCTGTTTGGAATCTGTTTCGCCCCAAATCCGGCTGTAGGGGAACATGCCCGACCTAACCCTAGATGCATCACTTATGCATATCCGATGCGGCCTCCGACCTCATCTTCTCGGACCCCCATGCATCCATCAGATTCGACGAATCGCTGATGTCCGTGGGAGCATGTAAGAGAAGATCTGGGAAACGGGGGGAGGAGCAACGTCCAGGCAACATGGAACATGTTCAGGAAGCCTCCCGGAAGCCGTGCCGAGTTGGTGATGCCCCTCCAGGAGGTGCCTCGGGACCAGGGGTCAGAGGTGCCCAGGAGTCCTGGGCACAAATGACGGGGCAGGCCGTTGCCTCGATACGCCTGTAGTGAAACGCAACACGTCCCGTGCTCAAGACGTCCGCGTCAATACGTTGCGTGTTGGCGCCACGTATTGGACCACGTTTTGGCGAATGTATCGCGTCGGACCTGCGTTCTCGGCCGACGTGTTGAGCTCCGTATCAACATACGATACCTCGGCATCGCTCGGACGTGTGCACTTCTTCCTCGGCGAGAGCCATCGAGGACCATGCTGGACCACCGAGCAACAAAAACACGCACGAAACCGAAGAATATACACCGGAAATGGACGTCCGAGCGACGGCAAGCTACGTGTTCCGTGCTGCGCACCGGGGCGGCGCAGGGCAGGCCCCGCAGCTGCGAGGGCGGGGCCTCCCGCGGCCCCGCGAGGGCGCCCTGCTCCGCTTCCCGCGCGTGGCGGCCGCCCGGCTGCTCGGCTTCCGGGACCCCCGCCGCCCGCCCCCGCCGCCTGCGCGCGCGCTGCCCTCGGCCGCCTCGGCCACTTTCGAAGAGCGCAAGCCTGCATCTCACCACCCACCAAACCACCCCAACCCAACCCGAAGGCCCAAATTTATCCTCGATTTCCAGTGGGGGGGGGTCGGGGAACGTTG